ACTATGCAAACAGTCCAGCAGTTTGGGCTGCCTGAAACGGTTGGTGCAGATGGAACATTCCAGATGATCCACACTAATCTTCTCCAACACTGATTGTGCTGTAACACTAGATGCCATCTTGACTAGTTGATGATGCTCTGCCAATGCATTGGCTTATTTTCTGTGAATGGAAGCATCAAAAGTTGACTTCTCTTATAGGCCTACTTTATCTATATCCATCTTGTCCTTCCATGTGTGTGAGTGTGAGTAAGTTTGTTTCTGCATTCAATTGGGGACGTTGAACAATAGAGGACAATAGGGTCCCCAATTTCCGAAGGTCCCCAATTTGGCGATATGTACAAAACTTTTGGGAGAGTACAAACAAAAGAGGGAGAATAGGGGTTCCCCGATTGCAGGTAAATACCCACTTGTGTGTGTTTGTATTTGCCCCAGCCGACACTGTGTATTTCGTAGTTTCCTTTGTTGGAACAGCTGAAACAGTTTGAATTCAGCACCATTGTTTGTTTGGTCCCCATTACAATCATTACCTTCAATGTATGTTAATTCCATAGCCAAAAAGTGGCTGTAAACTCCTACCCCACCCACCCCACCCCCACTTTTCCCCCAGTTTGGTTTGGTTTGGAACAACTTGTGGTAAGAAAGCATCATATGTTCATCACAAAACTGCTGTAAAATGTTGGCTTTTCTTTCTGTTTTAATACAAATACCGACTATAGTATAGACTGTATATCTCAAGGCAGCTGACAATTATAGGCCAAAGGGATTTTTTTCATTGAACTCCATAATACATTTACTGCATTTGTCAATAAACACTGTCTACTTTGTAGAAAAAGTCACACAGACAAAATTCTATGAAATACATGTAATAAGACCAATTACTTACCTGGATTAAGGAGATTTTATGACTTTCTGTGGACAATTTGAAAGTATCCTTTTGAAAAGAAGAGACCCAGTGGCTGGAGTGTACATACTCTGGCTCACATACATGTACAATGAAATATCATTTAGTATTGTGTAAATTGCCAGTCCTATTATTACTATGTTCCCCTTTATGCAGCTGGTGGATCACGGTCGATCATGACAAACAGCTGTACAGGGAGAGCATCTATTGTAATTGATGTACTTCTCACAGGTTTCCAGAACATCTATTGTTTGCTCAGGAACAGCCAGTGTTGACCTGACCCTGACCCCGCAAAAATGAATCAGAACTTTCCAATGTTATTTTCACATCAGATTACGCTGTTATGATTAGGACTGTGTCCAGTTTTTGTCTACACTTCATGATCCACTGTTACATGTTTACAACAGATAGCCAAGTCTGAGACAAAGAGAAATTAGCAAGCCATTAGTTCTAAAAATGTGTTTTATTTCATTCAACGGATTGCTAGCATCTCTTCCTCATATTTTAGCTTGTCAAGCATTTTTTGGACATGAAATCTATCTTTACTTTGTTTATCAAAATAAAAACCATGATCATGTTAGTTTTTCAAGGAATTTAGCTTGAGATGCATTATGAGACTTTCAAGCCCTCTTTTGTTAAATGACAGGTACCGAACGGACAGACAGGTAGAAAAACACATATGTGTAGACAACATAATGATAAAATTATTTGTTTTATTACTTAAACTTGATTGAATAATTAAGCAAAGGGGCTAAATGTCTCCCTGTAGAAACGCTTGTGGAAACCAGGCCCAATAAAAAACAAACCAGGGAATTGACCCGAATCGTTTTGGGATTACTCTCCTTTCGATATTTCTTACTTTTTTTCTTATACCACCCCCCCCCATTTTGTCTAGCCCCCCCCACCCCAAAATAAATTTCGTAAAAAAAAATTTGCATTAGCAAAATGAAGGATTTGTGATGTACATGTACATGCGAACGCTCTCCCCCTAAAGAAATAGTCGTGACAAGGGTGCATTAGTTAATATTGTGTGAATGATTTTAGGATTTTATCGGCGCTCCCCATTGGAAATATGGCATGAGCCTCCCCCCCCCCCCACACCTATTGATTTTCGGAGGCCTAAGTGTCTGGAAAAAAATAACCAGTCAACATTTCAGCACGCCTCCCTGAAAAAATCATGATTATTTGAAGACTGTAGATAGTGTCTATACGGTGCATGAATAATTGCAATGCAGAAATTTGATATGCTATCGCAAAATGAGATATTTTTTGATGACTCGACTTAGGTTTTTGAAAAATGCTTTTAAAAAGTAACTCTCCCAAAGGAGCATTGTTGTTTTGGTGTCAACCTTGCAAAGGAAATGAAAAACTGTCAATAATCCTTCTAAAGGTTTCTTGCCTCTAAAATGAGTTCATTATGGATGTTTTAAGAACAGACTCAATTTTTCAATTATTACCCACTTGTTGTGCACGTACAATTCACTGTACCAGTTTCGATCATGTTTTGATCAAACTAATACATTTCTATCATGAAAAAGGTTTACACCCCTATTCCTATAAATGTAACTGTTTGTTAATGATGTCATAGACTAAGCCAGCAGTACACACTTCAGACGTCTAATTTTTGGATATCTAATTTATTAACGTTTGCTCAAAGAATGAAGGGGACACATGGTTATGTCATTCTAAGTAATAAAAAAGTGAAAATAATTTTGCTTTTACGTCATGAATAAGGACCAGTGACTAATGCATCAAAATATGTAATGCGATCAAGCTACATGAGTCGTTTGTCGACCCTGGTCAATTTTTTTTTATTACAAATTTGAAAAGGGCACAATCTCAGCATTACTGCTTCGAAAACGGCAAGCTGATACCATCTTTAGTTAAACAATTAACAAAGTTGGAACACCAAGAGGTGTGACCAAAAGATGTGATGAAGTGGTCCTATTTTGGCCTGTATCTACCAATAAAAATTCCCTACAAACGACTCATTTAGCTTGATCGCATCACATGTGATGATGGAATGATGATTCTTTAGAAACAACAAATTATATGCACATACGCAAACCATTGTCTTTCAAACTGTAAGAAATGGCAAACTCTTCTGAAGTTTTTGGAAAACGAAAGCTTTATCAAGAATAACCTTTACATTGTTAAATTAGCAAAACTAACTAAAGTCTCTTAAGTCATGAAGATGGCTGTTCTTTTTCGCTAAAAAAATTAGAGCAGCAAAAAATGTTCCACAAAAATTAGTATATACAGTATGCTTGAGCTACTTCCATTTCTCTCTATAAACATTCTAAGCTTCTCTGTAAATTGAGATGGGTCCCTTTGATTGGCCGAGCCAAATGTCAAAATATAACTAGCCTTTGATCCAAGTTGAAATTAAAATATACCAACAGGATTCTAAGACAATGAATGATTTCCCTTGATTTCAGAAATTACCAAAAGAGTTGTTTTAGCTTTAATTACTAGATACGAAATGTGCAATGTGTGCTGCACCTTTTTTAATGAAAAATTGCTTACTGCAAGGTTATATAGTCGCATCAATTTCTTCGCCTAGATCCAAATTGAATAAGTATTTTCATTTGGTAGAAACGTAATAACAAACAAGTAAAATGATAATGATATTAGCAAGCTCTTAGAATACAACCATTCACCCAAATTGAAAACGCAAACTTTTAACACAGTGTTGTATCTAAAGAAGTTCTGCAGAATTTTTATATTGCCTGGCCGACCAAAAAAATGTGTTTTGCGAATAAACACAATCCTAAACACTCACTTGCTATCAGTTTGTAAATATGTTTACATGCTAAACATTTTAGCATGAGGTTAGAGCAAGAAAGCTTTTTGAATTGTGCTAACTCGTTTAAAACATTTTTTGTAGGCCAGGCAAATATCCACACAGAGACAGTTATGTTACCTTTGTCCCAATGCCTATAAAAATTGAAATGTTGGTCCCACTGTCAATTTGACCTCTCTTGGACATTTTATGTCTCATTTTAAAGTGTAAAGGCGTATCTTTCAAACTATACCAATATTATCTATGTTGGTTACACATTCTACGTCTGGTATATGTTGTTTGCATTTATTTTGATACACACTGTACTTTTCTCCCCTAAAATTGAAAAATATAACTGATGCAATAGCCCATTAGTTAAATAGCCCAGCAGTTGTCTCATTTTCATAAAAAGTATGTTAAATCAGGAGACATAAAAGATGTTCATCACTTCTTCAAAACGGAAATGTTACTTGATCACACGTACATGTACACACATTATGTTTATACACAGATTTGTTGTGTGCACGAGTACAAAAGTTATATACTTTTAAAAGGCAGATTTCTCACTTTATCAAAATGCAAATTGTACATGCTTCATACATTTAAATATTGTACACATGTAAAATCAATGAGACTTAGTGACAAATAGAGATTTGTCACTTAGTCAAAAACTAAAATAAAATTAAGTTGTCACACATTCACCTCGTGGTGTATTAGCCTTTAATATTATGAACAATACAATTGTGTGTCTCAAAATGTTGGAATTATGTAGAGTTGTATCATAAAATGTTAGAATATCAAAACATCTGAAATTCCTTAAAATCTGGGTTTCAGTGGATTCATCACATTGACAAAATGGTGACAATATGTTCAGACTAATTGGTACACAGTATTACTGCATCCAAATCAACAACAGCTTGACTTTTTTCTTTCCCTTAAAGAAAGCTGGAGCTGTCTTTAGAGGGAAAGTAAAAAAAATTTTTTGAATTGACACATTGTTTACAAAGCCTAAGTTATCCAAGATTGATGGACCAGTGATAATCAGTTATCCAATTATTTCCAATGAATCTGCAATTTGAGTGATTTTTAAAATTAAAAGGGCAGTAATAAAATCAACTAAATGTGACAATTACCAAGCTTTGTACATAATGTACATCCTTTCTATTTTTGTGATGGCTATCACTGTTTGATTCTCAAAATTGAGTATATTCTACCTCTTATTTCCCTCTCCTTATAAGATCATTTGTTGTAATATATCTTATGGGAAAACTTTGATAGGCAATGATGGTTGGTTACAAGTGTTATACATTGTGAGTGGATTAGGTGCAATTGCATGATGGGATTTGACCTGACTTCCAAGATGAGTGCTGATATTGATGGCACTGGCAACTAACAATGGAAGTCTATGCTTATGATTACAGCTATTACATGTAATTGGCAAAGAAAGTCTGCAGTAAACAAGTAATTATGCATATAGACTCCTTCAGTTATCAGCAACTGGAGAAATACATTATGCAGGGAAAATAATTATGCGGGGAATACCTATTTCCCAATTTCAGTTCTGCTTGTGTTAGGAAAAGAGGTTTTGGATATTTTGGATACCGTGAGAGTTGTAGTTTCAACAAAGCATGCATGAATATCACTGATTACTTTGTTGCTGATTTAATTTCCTTTACTTTTCTATTTTCCCTGGGTGTAATTATTCTGTCCTCACACGCGGTAATAGACCTGTACAGACTTTTCTGCAGCCACTACCAGATCACCATCCAATGTGAATGTGATGCAACATGGAGAACCACATCCTTTGATAACACATCCAATGTACTTGCCATCAGGACTGTAGTGCAGAATATCACCTGTGGGATATCCATACACAGCAACATAGATGCTGCCATCACTGTCACAGCACACACCATTAGGGCACCCATCCTCCTGTATGTTGCTGGTCATGTCTACTGAGAATACACTGGCACCATAGTAGTCTACACATACCAACCTTTTGTTAAACCAGTTTGTGTTGATAAGGCGGTGGTTGTGCATTGTCAGATAACCTCTAATCATTGGAGCAGACAGTCTCCTGATGAGGGATCCATCTGGGTTGTGTAGAGATATCTCCTTCTTGCCTTCATAACCCACTGCTATCAGATTGCTGTCATCCACTGCGAGGCATGTTGGTTGGCTGGCTGACCCTCTACCTGGTGTGAACTGATGGAGGAGCTGATGTTGCTTGTTGAAGACCTTGACTACTGGACCATCTAGAGCAAGGAGCTTGTCGTCCTTGCTCACTGCAATACACCTTACATGAGCGAGGCCACTGATTTGTAGCCTTTGTGGGATAGGAGATGGTGTATGTTGACTATTGGTCAGTGATACTGTGAATAGTGTATTATTCCAATTGGTTAATACTATGTTATTGTCAGAGAGTACTGACACATGTCGTATCACTGTATTTCCTAATTCAAAGTTCTTGATTTCAGTCTTCAGTTCCCATTTCTCCTTCACACATGATCTTGCAGGTCTTGGTGATTGCTTTGCTGCAGCCTTTGGTTCTTCCTCCAGAATGAGTCTCCCAAGTGACCTCTCACCTTCTTCAAAGTCCATGAAGGTCAACTTGTCAGGAACTTGCTGTGGATGCTTCCCTGTCAATTCACTGAGGTTATGCAAGAGCTTCTGCTGAAGTTCAAGAATCTCGTAGCAACTTGCTTGATTCATGAGTTGTTTCACCTCCTCTAGCTTGTGCTCTGTCTGTGTCACCTCTTTCCTGTTGGTTGCTTGAACAGCTTCAAAAGCTTTGAGTTTGTCTTTATAAATCATGTCTGTCTCTTTTAACAGTTTCTTTTCTTCCTTTTGGATCTTTGTTATCTCCTTTTGGATCTTTGCAACCTCCTGTTTGAGCTTTGTAATCTCCTGTTGGAGCTTTGTAATCTTCTGTTGAGCCTTTTTGGAGATTTTCTTTTGAGTTTTGGCAAACATGGTTTCCAGCTCTTTGCAAGATTTGCATGTGTCTTCTATGGTGGTGCCCAATTCTGTTTTTCTTCTCTCACTGTTTTGGACCATTTCTGTGATCTTCTTCTTACATTTTTCTACTGCCTCAGGTAATCCAGTGAGTGTGTGTTTTGCATGATCAAGTACAGAGCAAGTTGTGCATATGACTTGCTCACATGTGTTGCAGTAGACATTGAGATTCTGATCTGGATGCTTGCCACATTTGGGAACTTGTTCTCTTAGTTTACTCTTGTAGACAATCTCTCCTGATCGAAGTTGAGCCAGTGTGTACATTTTGTGAGATTTCATCATCAAATTCATTCGTCCATGTGCCTTGTGACATTCTTGGCAGAGGAAATGATCACAGTTCATGCATCTTGAAATAGCCTGATTCTCCTCATCACAGGCTTGACATTTGATCTCTGACCCTTGACCTTCCAGTAGCTTTTCCTGCATTGTAACTTCCTCCACCATGGCACTGAAGGCAAAGTTATTCGGGAGATCAGCAACCCCAGACCCTTTCAACATGGTTTCACATCTGCACAGAGGACATGTCAGCTTTGTACCACTAGGATCTTGGCGCTGTCTGAGCTCTTGGAGGCATTGGAGGCAAAAACTATGCAAACAGTCCAGCAGTTTGGGCTGCCTGAAACGGTTGGTGCAGATGGAGCATTGCAGATGATCCACACTAATCTTCTCCAACACTGATTGCACTGTAACATTAGATGCCATCCTCACTGTTGGGCTTTGTGTGATAGAATGGACGTTTAACCTGCAAATAAAAGCTTTGGAATTACATGTATTCAAACTTCAAATGATGATATGGTTGTAATAGGTCAGATGTAAAGTTGAAAACTTTTTGTCAAGTACATTATTCACAAAATTGAAGGTCTATTAATATGCTACATGTATATGCTTGTTTTAAAACTGTAGTTGTTTAGTTTTGTTCAAAAGAAAATAGCAATCAGTTGCAACGAATGTACAATATATGGTTACCTTGTTAAAGGGAATACACAACATTTGTTTCTGCTGTAATATTCTGAAATGGATGTATTTGGTGGTTAGTATTTTGTAGCAAATATTGTTATGTTGACTTGTTTTAAGTTTTGTGTTCGCAGTTACTAGAAAAACCAAAAAAAAAACAATCCTGTTCTTGTAGACTGGTTCCCCGACCCAAAATGATGAAATGAAGCAATTTATAGACGTCAGGGAATTGGATCAGGGAACCAGTCTAGCTTGCTTGTACCCATTCATAGGAGTGTATTTGATTGCAAACTAAATCTGTTAAATTGGGGGTTTGAAAAGAGTCAGTTTTGTCCAATGCTGGTCAGTCGACCAGCATTGGAAATCGATACAAAAATACCACTTTTCCTGAAAATGTCAGCACGTGCCATGATTTTACAGGATTCTTTAGACTGTCATTCACTAGCAGTGCAGTAAGGTATTTCATGATAATTTGGTAGTTTTGTTTTTTGATGTTTGCAAATGTTGTATATTCCCTTTAATGTAAGAGTATAATTATATATTTTGTCCTGACAAATGCAACAATAAAGAATTTGTTTCAGCTGTTATGGGCCATTTTCTTACGCCTAAGGTAAATTATAATAAAATTCATAACAAGTCAAACAAAAGTAGGTCACAAGTGAAAGGTTTTCCACTTTGACAAAAAATGCCTTTTGCCACAGTTTTTAATATAAATAGTTTGTGAGTTGACCTGACGAAGAATGACACTTTGTTGACTTTATGAGGATGTGGCTTCAGGTCTGAATGAAACAGTTCACACAAAAAATAGATTTTTTTTTCTAACACTGGATTTTGCCCTACACTGACGTATTTGTATGAACACTGTATACTCAGTGTTGAAAAAAGTTTGTGAAAAGAGTACTCGCACGTCCCTCGGTAAAATTAGCCTGCGTAAAATAAACAATAAAGTGAGGTGGGGGGGTGAGGTGGGGGGGGGGGGGGCTCATCTTGGTATTGGGGCGCTGTTCAAACCAGACGATCATGGACAATATGTGGCACTTTTCAGGGTGGCACAATTGCTGATGGTAGCCCAAAATTCCCAAAAGGGTACTCGTAAAAGGCTGCTTGTAACAAAATAGGCACTGTTTAAAAAAAAAGGCATTGTTTAAAAAAAAAAGGGCACTCTTTACAAATATCCGGGGGGGGGGGGGGGGGGTTACGCTAGAGTTAAAAGGGCACTTGTATACAAAAGGGCTGTCTTACTGTTACTCAGGTGGGGCTCGAACCCAGTACCTCCTGTTTAGTGCAGACGTCTTATCACTCCACCTTTGAGCTTGCCTGGGTCAGCTAGGTGGTTTGAGTTGAGGTGAGCTGGAGTTACTGCAACCAAATATTGTGTGTACCCCCAAAAAAATTACAAGTACTTTAATTGGCCCATATTTCAAATCGTAGACTCAAAGTCCACTTTCCTTTAAGAAATTTCATAAAAAATACATTTACCTTTTTATTTTTTGTTGTTTTATTATTATTTTGTGATTCACTAAGCTACGTTCTTAAAGGTCTAACACTTGTTCGTAAAATACAAACAATACGTCACTTATTTCTGTCATGAATATAAGGAGATTCATGTATTCCACATGTCTGTATTCTAACAGGTTTGACGGATCCACTTGAATTTCCAGTAAATACGTATACACTTGTAATTGGCAAATACTGAGTTGACATGTACATGTACTTCATATGAGATAATGTGATGCTGTTGATTTATATCAGATGTATTGACAGACTTACAGGTAGACCCACTAAATAAAAATCTTACCTTCAGGTACACATGGAATGAGCCACTGCTATCTTCCCATTCTGATGTCACTTACGGCAATGGCAGAAATGAACAAAGATGGCGATCTATGTATACGCCCCTCTGTATCAACACAGCCCATGTCACATGATTTTGAGTACACTCATTGGCAGTCCCTGGTTCCACTTATGTAGCGCTTTGGTACGTGCTCATAGTAAAATCAAATGCAGTGTTTTATATCAAATTGGTCCAAAGGTGTCGGGCCGGTAATATTTGCAGTACCAGTACCCAAATTCTGATAACGTAGCACTGTGGTACGTGCTCATAGTAAAATCAAATGCAGTGTTTTATCTCAAATGGATCCAAAGGTTCTGATCTGGTAATATTTGCAGTCTCCAGATTCCACTTATGTAGAGCTTTGGTACGTGCTCATAGTAAAATCAAATACAGCATGCTGACTGTGTTTTATATCTAATGGATCCAAAGGTCCTGGGCTGGCAATATGACAGACAGGTTTATCAGAAAGGTAAACATAAAGAAGCCACAGGTCAATTACCTGATGCAGTTTAAAATTCTAAACTGACTGTTATTGCAGATGACACCTGTTTTAATATCCTTTGATATGTTTCCAGTCAGGATACTCACAAGGGCGTCAATCGCTTCTCAAAAGTGGGGGGAGGGGCATATCTTGAACAGTGTTCATGGGAGCGCAAAGCCCTACAGCATGGGGTCTAGGGCCCGCTTAAGGGCCCCGGAATATGTATTGTAGACGCTCTGTGGTGTGATCTGAGGCAATTTCTGACCATTTCAACAAATTTTTGAAGAGCAAAATAATCATCTTTTAAACATTATTTTTGAGTTTGAAGTCATCAGCTATTGTGAGCTATAGGATCATTATGTTGGCAACAATTTTAATTCTGGGACGAATAAAGTGGGGTTAGGGACACAAACGATATGATATCCCCCGACTTTAAAAAGTGGGAAGGGGGGACTTGTCCCCCATCCCCCACCAATTGGATACTCAAGTCTGTTGTGTAGACAAATATAAACAAATAAAAAGAGTTAAAAAATGAACCGACAGTAATTGGTTTTGGATCGTAGTTTTGTTTTGTTGTGGGTTTTATTTTCCTTCACTTTCTTTTTATTTATCTGCATTTTAGCTCGTGTGCAGTTGGTGTTTTACATGCATGTATAGCATTCAACAGCACAATGCTTGCATACAGTGTAGTTCATTTAAATTATATTCATCATAACAAAACTTGTTATTCCTTTCAGTGATTCAGCATCAGCAGTGCTTTGTTACACAATTTCCAAAACTCACATTTTTAAGGCTTTCTCTTTTTATTGCATCCCAGTTCAGTTCATTCAGCACTAATTTTGAATATTCATTCATATTTTGTGCCTTCCATAGGCTGATTGGTCCATTGCTGAGATGAATGCTGAGATGGGGGAGAGCCACGCCCACCTCTACACATCACTGACTGATAAACAGGTATGTTCAGCAATAAAGTGGTGTCAGTCTATTTGAAATCGGTATATGGGTGCTCAAAAAGGGCGGGAAGTAGAATCATAAGGGTAAGAGAGGTCTTGTCATTGAGGCATTTTTTTGCTTGAAACAACAAAGGGCTCAAAATCTGCGGACGAATGTTAGCTGTTAGCAATTACTGAGCTAAAATGTTTTCAGGTTAGCTGTTTAACAGCTAACCTGAAAACATTTTAGCTCAGTAATTGCTGTACATTCCAAGGAACCAATATACTGGGATCTCGATTTCAAATCAAAAGTTGCAGAGTCACATTTTGAATTACGCCCAAAATCAGCATCCGGGACATGATAGTTAGCAACGGCGCATGCTTGTGCGTCATGTCAGTGCTTGCACGCACCCATTCACAGATTCTTCAAATTACAAACCTTACTACTCACTGGATGTTTCTTTGGAAATTGCCTTCTTTTACTGTTTTCTGAAAATGACAGCATGCCAGAAAGAAAATTTTCACAGGGAGTTTATTGCCATTACTATATTTAAATGTTTTAACGTGCACAGTCGCAAAGCGTTGTTGGCGTGATGTCAGAGCCTTTTGGTCTGGAAACCGACCACAGACACTGTCTTTGTAGTGCATATTGCGGGCGGCGTCAGACGGGCCAATCACAAGACCATGTAATATGTTGAACTGCAGGCCTACATGTACATGTTTGTACATTTGTATGAAATTTATGTAGCAAAGGGAATATATGCCAATGTATGCATGACACATTACAATACAACATATAGAACATTACAAGTTAGTTATTCCTGTCAGTCCCATTTGGAAATCTTTAAACCTAAATACAGCATTGTATGGTATCTTATACACATAATATTCCTTTTCACATTTCTACAGGAATTTTCATGATTATTTGAAGACTGTGAACAGTGTCTATACTGTGCATAAATAATTACAATTCAGACATTTGATATGGGATCGCAATATAAGATATTTGTGATGACTTTAGTGAAGTTTTTCAAAAATGCTTTTAAAGTAACAATTCTTCCCAAAGAAGTATTGTTTCTTTTGGTGTCGACCTTGCAAAGTAAACAAAAACAAGTAAATAATCCTTTTAAAGGTTTCTCTCATCGAAAGTGAGTTCATTATGGGTGATGTGTGTACTGCACATCGACTGCAAAATGCAGCCTGTGGCCCCAGTGTGTAATGTTTTGGCCATACATGTACATAGCACCCGAGGCCAAATGCAGCCCTTGGGTGTTAAAAACATCATATCCCACACTGGCCTATCCAGCTTTTGATGTCAGGGGGGCAACCGCACTCACACGTCCCCGAACACTTGGTCTCCGTAAAATCCAAGGGGGGGGGGGCGGGCTGGTACCCATTTTCCAAATGGTGGCGCTCTTCAAAACTGATCATTATTATGCATACTGGAAAATATATGCCTATTTTCACGGCTCATTGTAATGGTTTCGGAGCTTGGTTTCTTTTCCTTTTTTTGTGTCAGAACTCTCTAACCATTTATGGAAATAGTCACTGAAAAAATATCTTTCAAAAAAGCTGCAGGGGGCATGGGACAAGGTGCCCCCCCCCCTCATCCCCTCCCCTGCCCCCTCCCTTCTGGATACACCACTGATCCCACATCACATTAGTCAACAATTGTTAATTGTAATTGAAGTCCGAGCTAGAAAGAGAAACAGTATTGTAA